GAAAAGAGTGAAATGACAGTGATATATAAAATTATGCATAGTACAGATAAAGTGGATAGGGAAAAGTTTTTCTTCTTCTCATAATGCTAGAATCCAAGGTCATCCAGTGAAGCTGAATGATGGGAGATTCAAGAGAGATGAAAGGCCACCAACTTGTATGGTTTTAAAAGGGGAAGAGACAAATTCAGGGAGGATAAGGCTATCACTAGCTACTCATCATGACTGCTATAGATTACCTCCAGTGTAGGCAGTATGCCTATGTACAGTAGCAGCTTGGGAATGCTGCAAGTGGGAGAGTGCATTTGTGCTAAAGTTCTGCTTATGGCATCTAGTTGGCCACCTACCAGCTGGGCTTTGGTCTGACCTAGCACAGCTCTTCCTATTTTCTTAAGTCATGAAACTATTACCAGGGGGTGGGCAGTCTGACCAGTGCACACGGCATCCAGAGATCCACCATGCTTTAAGGAATAAACAAGCACGGACTATAATTGAATTTGCTCAGAATGTACTTCCCTCTGTCTGCATTTTCCCTCATCAAAATGCAAACTAGAGAAAGAAAAATCTTTGTCACTTTAGTAATGTGCAGCATTATGAAACCATGAAAATCATACTAAGCTCCATGGATAATTAAATCAGGGCACTAAGAGAAAAAACAACTAGGAACATGGTGATCTCTTCTGCACTTGTACATTTCACATGAACTGCAAAGCTAACACCTTGCTATCACGGCCAGCATACAGCTACCTGCTGAACACAGGAGAAATTAGCACAGAGCACCAGTAGCATTATGGCATCTTAACAACCTGTGCTGGCAACAAGAACAGTCTAGGAAAAAGACAGGACCAACGGGCATTTGACCAGGAAAAAACAGAAGCTTCCTCAAGGCAGTTAAAAGTGGAGGCAGTTAACAGCCTCCACTAAATCTTACACAGAGATCTGAGCAACTATCATAGTTTTCACTTCCAGATACAGACTAGTACTTGCAGTTGAGAAAAAATGGTTGGGTTGCTACTGCAAAGAAGTCTAAACAGACAGGATGGCATGTATAACATACTGAATGACTTTATGACAACCATCAGAAACTGCCATTTAAACTGAAAAAATATTTTTCTGTACCACACAATTTCTTCAAGAATAGCTTTTTAGAGATAATGAATGTTCAAAAAGAAGTTCATAAAAGTATGTGTAGATAATAAAATACACTATTTTACATAGAAGGAAGGGGTTTAGTGTTTAGTCAAGCAATTACTGTTTCAACTGGATTCTCATTTATTCACATCATGACAGATTTGAGTGACAGATGACAGAAGATGAAAAATGTGTAACAGAAATCCTACTGAAAACTGCAAACATAGAATCTCATATATATTTGGTTTCAATCTATGAAACCCTCTCTTCCGTATTCAAGTTGTGCCAGTTTATCTGTAGCTCCTGAGTTTGTCTAGTGATTTTTTCAAATCATATATGCTAAACCAGGCTTCTTATGGCAGCCATTTGCATTAACTTAGCAGCAGGTTTTACCTTATCACAGTGAAAATTGCTGAAAACGAATGTCATATTCTCACCTAGGATTGTCAGGGAAAAGTTTCCCACCTTTATGGTGAGCCAGACATGTTGATAAGCATACTGAGAGACACCTTGGTGCTTCAGGCAAAAGCTTACTTAGCTTTATACAAAGCTACACATTTCAAGAGGAAAGAAATGGCCAGTTTCCCATGTTTCTGGAACCAGTTGATATCCTAGTTTGGAATATAACTAGCTGGATGCACAAACAGCACTTTGGAAACACCATTGCTAGTTCATAAGTTTTTAAAAATTAACTTTTTGGCACTTCAGGAGGATACACATGTGTTTGCATTTTTTATTTATTTAATATTCTTTCCATTCTTTCGCAATTGTGCAAGAGCACAGATTTGCCTCTCTGATATGTACAGCCTTGCCTGCTCCACTTTCTTGCATGCTTCATCCAAGAAGGAGAGCTACAAGAAACTGATAAGACAAGGCTGCATATAGGCTCATCTGCCCACAGATGTGAAGGCCTGGGGGAGAGAGAGCAGTAGGAGAAAGGAAGAATGCAGTAGTGCAATCACAAGCACTACTTGGGTAAAAGGGGTTAGGGTAAAGGGGCGAGGGGAGTGGAGCAGGTGCACCAAAAGTGAGGGTTAGGGTAATCCTAATGTAATTCTCTTGCTTTAAATTGCTGAAGTGCCCTCCACATATTCAAGCTTGTCCAGAAAGGGGGTTATTAACTTCTCACTCCACCCCACTTATCATGACTCTTTTTCAGCAGTGACTCCTGTGGTTACTGCACTTCATTGGATGTGCACAAATCTCCCCACCCAAAACACAAAGCTGCTCAGATGGTTGGATGGGGAGAGGCATCCATGGGTTGGGTGGGTGCAATTCCTAATGACACAGGTGTCCCATTAACTTTATTCTTTTCAGCTATCCTCTAAAGTTGTTGTTATTGTTACTACATTTGGAATAAATGTAAAGGCTGAGAAGCAGAGGGGAAATTTGCACACATGCAATAATTACTCTGAAAAAGCTGTGAAAAGGTTCCCATTTCTGGAGTAGCTAGAGACTTGAGGGAGTGTTGAAAATGTAGGGGACACTGAAAAGTGTAAACTGAACACTTAAGTGAAAGGATTGCATTATCAAGTGGGAGTCATTGTCCCCCACCCTTTGGTGTTCTTGGCAAAGCAAAGTTGCATATATTGGACAGGCAGCAATGCTCTCTTATGCGGTTGTGAAAGAACAGGGAAAACGGTTTTGAACATATTTGGGTACTGTACTCTCAAAGCACAAAAAAGTGGCAAAGGAAACTGGTAGCGATTGTAGTGAGTTTCCACCATCCTTCAGCCCATTTCTGACACATCCCATCCCATATTTCCTTGGGATATGTGCAAGGAATAGGACTGGGGGGCGGGATGAACCAAGGCAAGCTGCCTATACAGCTGATCATCTGTTGGGAAAAACATGGGTTCACAAGTGAACAAAGAGCCGACAGTGGCTTTTCCTCCAGGGTGGCTAGAAGATAGTGTTACATGAGAATCTGCCCAAGGACTGATAACAAACAAATTGCAAAGAAGAAGCATGTCAGTGGAACAGCTATGTTGGTCTGTTGCGCAAAGCAACAGGACTTTTCACACCATAAAGAGTACCAGATTTTCAGTGCAACCCTACACATTTTTACTCAGAATTATGGTCCACTGAGTTTAATGAGAATTATTCCCAGGTAACTGGTATAGGATTGCAGTCTTATTGTGGCATCAGATTTCACAGAACATAAATATACCATGTTTTATTGTTGAATTAACTGATGGGTTGTTCAGCCCATAAACAACCAGAGCTTTGGGATCGCATGTCACATTCAACAGCTATAAACAGGCACTCAAGTTGCTTATTAAAAGCAGAAGCGGCTGGTGCCCTGCAGGCATTGAGCCCTCTTGTCCCTGACAACCCATGGGTTTTTAACACATGAGCTATCATTCAGTGCCAACTGGCAGAACAGCTAATAAGAGAACAACAAGAACTTTGAGAACTACTGCAAGCTCTACCCAATCAGAATGAAAGTATACATCAAACGTCATATGTTAATATAGCTGAATAATGCTGATGTTCTCACACAGGGGTCTCCTGGTGATCAGCAAGATGCCGTCCCCAAAGATACACACACATGCGCATACACCCCTACAGTGTTAGGCATCACTTGCACCAGGGACTTCTGTCCTTGTGATGTGAGGAAGAAAAGGCCACAGCTCACCTGTCTAGGAGTACATGGGCACTGAAGCCCATATATTCAAGAGAAGAAAAACAATAGCCTCTTACGTGTATACAAAGGATGTCCACAAATGTCTACCAAGCTCCCAGCCTCCCCACTGCTAACTGTTTTTTGATGTTCCCCTGTTTTTCTTGCCTTGGTTAGCTTACAACGGACTCCCTGACCTGCACAGGAACTCCAGAAAGTTCCCTCCAAACTTGGAAAATGGATATCAAGCTGGCAAATGTGGTTCAGCATAAGTAAAGGTAAAGTAACATATGTTGACACAAAACACTCAACTTCAAGTGTAAGTAGATAATGTCTGAGCTAGAGTTAAACGCCCAAGAAAGGAATCTTTGGATTGTTAACTCAGTACCCAATTGGTGTGAAAAAGACGGACTCCAAGTTAGGCATAATTAGGAAAAACCATGAAAATAAATCTGCCATTGTCATTCTGTCCTTAAGCAAATCTGCAACTGCCCTCACAATATTGTGTAAAGTTATAAATGCCACATCTGAAAAAGTATATTGTAGGAGTATATTGCAGTATATTGTATTCCATTGTATTGTGGAAAGAGTGCAAAAAGGGGCTGTATGTCTTGATAGCTACTTATATGCTCCATCCAGTATCAGAGGCAGTATGCCTCTTGTGGTCCAGCTGCTGGGAAACTTGGCAGGAAGGTGCTATTGCATTCATATTCTGCTTGTAGGATCCTGTGGTCAGCTGTCCACTGTGTGAAGAGAATGGTGGACCAGAGGGACCAATGGACTGATCTAGCATGGCTCTTCTTATGTTCCTATATTCTTAGGAGAGAATGCACTTTCCTGAACTGGCAGCTTATTTGCAAACTAGATTTACAGTGGTTTTCTAAGCAGCAAGTCTATGCCCATGACTTACAGCAAAGGATCCATGTTACACTTGAAAGGGCAAAGTCATAATCTCACTGTACTCTTCACAACAAGGTAAGCATCCATGTAGTTAGGAAAGCTCTTAAAAATTAAGTTTCACCTGGAATGACAGAAGACTTTCCATTCCATGCACCTCCACATTGATGTTAGAAACTGATGCAAACACTGGCATCTAAAGTACTGTTTAAACTATGGTTTAACGAACATGAAAGCAGCTGGAATCTACACTTGATGGAAACCCAGCCTGGTTAGAAAGTCAAAGCGTGCTTTCCTCTGAAAGACATTAATGTGTTAATTTGAAAAACAAGGATGAATAACATATTCCAACCTTTCTGTTTTTGATTCATTAGCTGCTGTGCACTGTTCAAACTCTCGACTTAGGAGCTGCAGCTTATCTTGAAGTGTTTTCTCTCGTTCCACACTTCCCTCATAAAACTTCAACTTCTCTTCCATTGCTTTTACTTTCTCTTCCAGAAGCTTAAACTCATGAAGGATCAAATAACTAACTCCACAATATTTGCAAACTGTCTCATCCCGGGACATCTAGAAGGAAAAATAAGCAATTAATGTTGCTAACAAAATGAACAAAGTGAAATAAATAACTGAACTAGAAAACAAGAAGTTGCTTTTTACCAAGTCAAACCATTGATCGGTCTAGCTCATTAATGTCTATTCAGCACCCTTGCTCTTCTTGAGTTCTAATTTATTTCTTGTGGGGGGAGTTAGTTTGTCTATGGCCGGCCACACTCACCATGTTAGCCCGTTTACGCATGGGCAAGCTCCCTTATAGCAGCCATGTTGTGCATCTACCCACAACTATCTCTCAAAATCACAAATCTGCCCACCAGTCCAAAACATTTTGGGTCCCCTGGTCTGCTCTGACAAGCAGGAGCCTTTTCCCGGTGCCTCAGACAGAATTTGTTTGTTTTACCAACCTTACCTAAAGATGAATGCAAAGCAGGTATTTGTTGTTGTTTAGTCACAAAGTCATGCCCAACCGGTCACAACCCCATGGACAAATTTCCTCCAGGCTCTCCTGTCCTCCACCTTCCCTCGTTGTGCACCCAACCTCACACCCACTGCCCCAGTGACTCCATCTAGCCACCTCATCCTCTGCTGTCCCCTTCTCCTTTTTCCATCAATCATTCCCAGCATCAGGTCTTCTCCAGTGAGTTGTTCCTTCTCATTAGGTGGCCAAAGTATTTGAATTTCATCTTCAGTATCTGGCCTTCTAAAAAGCAGTAAGAGTTGATCTCCTCTAAGACTGACTGGTTTGATCTCCTTGCAGTCCAAGGCACTCACAGAAGTCTTCTCCAGCACCACAATTCAAAGGCCTCAATTCTTCAGTGCTCAGCCTTCCTTATGGCCCAGCTTTCACAGCCATACATTGCAACTGGAAAAACCACAGCTTTGACTATACGAACTTTTGATGGCAAGGTGATATCTCTGCTTTTTAGTAGGCTGTCTAGATTTTCCATACCTTTCCTGCCAAGGAGCAAGGATCTTTTAATTTCTTGACTACAGTCCCCATCTGCAGTGATCTTGGAGCCCAGGAAAATAAAATCTGTCGCTACCTCCATTTCTTTCCCATCTATTTGCCAGGAAGTGAGAGGACTGGATGCCATGATCTTAGTTTTCTTGATGTTGAGTTTCAAGCCAACTTTTGCACTCTCCTCCTTCACCCGCGTCAAGAGGCTCTTTAGTTCCTCTTCACTTTCTGCCATGAGAGTGGTATCGTCTGCATATCTGAGGTTGTTGATATTTCTCCCGGCAATCTTAATTCCAACATCTAGCCCAGCCTTTTGCATGATGTGCTCTGCATATAAGTTAAATAGGCAGTGGGACAATGTACAGCCTTGCTGTACTCCTTTCCCAGTAGATATAGTGGCATCAAAGGAAAGTCAGGACAGGGGGGTCAGAAATAATATGCATTTTCTTCCTATATCACAAAGTTACAAAGAGAAGTTAAGGTCCAGAGTAAAAGCAGCATTTTTCCATTTGCAACTAGCAGAGCATCTGAAGAGAAAAATTGGTTTGGGGAAGATCTGTTTCCCCTTCCTGCTAGCTGTAGGAATTTGCAGCTGGGTGACAGCAGTCTAAAGAATGTCATACAGATGGAGCAGAAGCCATTTCTATAATGGAAAATGAGCCTTCTGAGCCTTCTGTCAGGATTTGCAGAATTCTAGTTTTCCATTCTGCCATCAGTTAGTTGCTACAATCAGCAGAGGTTGAGGGCAGAACAGCAAGAGCACAACAGGGGCAAATCTTTAACCTCTGGTTTAAAGCTACTGAAAAGTAGGCAAGGTCCTCCTTCCAGTTTTCACACCTGCTGCAGCACATAGAGATGCACGTACTTGCCATCTGCATTTCAAAAGTTATTTTACTTGAGATTCTCTGCTATCCTTTATTTAAATAACCCTGAGAGTTACGAGTTAAAAGTTACCAATGCTTAAAGAGTACTTCATACAAATTAATTTTTATAATCTCTTGCCTGACAAAACCATGCTTCTGGTCTACCACAACCATGAACAAGGTTGCATTCAGACAGAACATCATATGATACACTGTACTTAGCACATATGAGTCACACAGAAACCAAGAAATTTGACAGGTGTGAGATTATTAATCATTATACACAGGATGCACTTCAGCACATGGCCACATGCTTTAGCGAACTTGAGTTTCTTGCAAAAAGAGGTTATAGCTCCCCCCGCAATGCACACCTTTCTTAGAGTTCCGTTTTTGGTAGTTCTCTCGAACAAGCCACAACTGTTCTAATTACGCCTATAAGTACGCATATACAACAACAAAGATGCTGAAGCAACGTTAGCAACTGCCAATTTTATTCTGAAAACAAAGGACAGGAACTGCAAAACTGCCAACAGAACTTCTGTGTATGCATATAGATTCCCATCTCCACTCCTGCTCCCTTTATCAGCAATGGTCCCTGAAGTCCTCCTCCCATTCACCCAAAAATATTACTCTAGAGAACATACCTGTCTTCCAGTGAACCATCCAGAAAAAAATGACAGAGCACAAAGAGATATATTTCTAAAGTGAAATACTTCATACCCATGCACTAGATGCCTATACATCTAGTTTTTTCAGGCTCTAAGAACTGTGAAGATACTCATTCTAACTTTTGGGTTTGCAGGAACATTTGGAATGCTGAATGTCATGGGCATTCTCACAAATTCCCTGAAATTGATTTCTTAATTTTAAAATCTTAAGAAATAAAATAAAAAACAGAAGGAGCAGGAAACCCGGAGGTCACCAAGATAAGTGACTATAAACACAACTGTGCCCATGGAACCACACTGGACACTTGCTAAAGCTAGGCAGGCATCTGATCTGCCTGAATGGAAAGCCATCTGGAAATTTCATGTATGGAACTTTGAGTTGCATGATGGAAGAAGACAGGTTACAAGTGTCAAAGCAAACACTTGACTAAAGGTTTGATTTAAACAGCATGTTTGAAGGAAACATACCTGCCTCACTGGATGTGCAAATAGCCCCACAGATGAGACAGTTATCAGATGTGAAGTAAAAGCACAGACTGTGGAAACAGAAGGGGGGGTGAAAGTAAAAGGAAGGAGTGATGTGAGCTAAGGAGAAGCTTTCTACCAAACAATCCAAGTTGACTGAGTATGCCACAATAAAGTAATGTGTATTCTTGAGATTACCAAGATTACAGACACCATAGCACAATCTACAACCTGTACCTAGCCTAAACCATCATACTACAGGTTAAAGCATTTTAAGACACATTTACTCAGTTAATGTGTCACTCATATGAATTAGTTAATGTTAATAATGTTGAGCCAGATCCTACCATCAAAATAGATATAAAAAACTACAATAAACATAGCCTATTATGAAGGAAAAAATGCTGCCATTATGAATTATGTGATGATAACGAGTGATTGGGATTAGGAAGGAATAATAAAAATGACTTAGCTCAACCATCAAACCAAATGGAGACCACAGCCAGGAAATTAGAAGACTTGGAAGACACTAATGAAGGTACTAAAAAGACCATAAAGTATAAGGATGTTTCACTGGGGACTAAGGCCAAAATCATCGACACTATTGTATTCCTGTTCACTATGTATGGATGTGAAATCTGGATAGTGAAGAAAACCGTGAAACTAGTGTAGAGCTCTGTGAACATTGTGGCACAACAGAAAAATAAACAAGTAATTTCTAGATCAAATCAAGCCAGAACTTGCCCTGAAAGCAAAAATGACAAAACTGGGGTTATATTTTGGACACATCACAGGAAGGAAAGACTCACTGGGGAAGAGAATCATGCTAGGAAAAGTCAAAGGCTGAAGATGAAGACCTGGCAGACCAACAGACAGACAGACTCCATAAAAGGAGCCACAGCCTTGAGCTTCCTGGAGCTGAACAGAGTGGTGAAGGGCAGGACATTATGGAGGACACTTATGCATGGGGTCACCATAAGTTGGATATGACTTGGCAGGACAGAACAACAAAGGGACAGTGATGGGTCTCAGATGAGAAAGTTCTTGAGAAGAGAGGGAAGGGATATTCAAATGTAAGAAGAAAGGGAAAGAGAAGGGAGGAAAAGCCACAGTTTTCCAGTAAAATTTAGTTTTGAGACAATATAAAAGCAAATTAAGGGTTCCAGTGGCTTAAGGGCAGGGGTGTCCAAACTTTTTGCAAGAAGGGCCAGATTTGGTGAGGTGAAAATGTGTGGGGGCCAACCATTCAGTCTGACATTCTTTGAACCATTAACATTAAATGCAAATGAACTATTTTATGAAAGACTAAACAAATAACTTAACTGAACTAATGTGAAGGGTGATACTGAGATTGCGACTGCATTATATAGGCCAGGTCTGGCTCAAAAACAGTGGGTTTGATGCGCAAGATGTCATGCAGGTGAAAGTCACTTAGTCTCATCCTCACGCGGTTCTTGTTAATGTTCATAACCGAGAATGACTTTTCACACAAGTATATCAAACCAAACAAGCTCATTTTCTTAGCAAATGTTCGAATCTCTTGGAACCTGTCTTTATCCAGCTGGAGGTAAAACGTGACAAGAGGAAGCTGTTGGTGCCGACTGCGACACTCGGCGTCACACTGCAGCTCAGTGAGCTCCAGCTGCAGGTGGTCTGGAGCGTCATCAGGGTCCACAGAAAAAGGAGATGAAAAAAGCGTGATCTCCTTTTCAATAGCTGCAAAATCCCGAAAGCGCTGTTGAAATTCCTCAGCCAGAGATGAGATGTCTGCTTCATACCTCCTTATTTGCGCACACATATTGTTCTGTGGAAAACTGGTCATTATTTCCTGCAGCAATGGGAAATGTGTGGTATTGGGCTGCGTTTGTGACAGGTGCCTTTGGAAAAGTAACAGCTTGGTCCCAAAGGCTTAGATATGTGAATACAGTTGGCTTACCACTGCATTTTGCCCCTGAAGGCTCGTGTTCAGCACGTTCAGATGTCGTGTTATGTCAACTAAAAATCCAAAATCAACCAGCCAAACAGGATCAGATAGCTCTGGCATCAGTTGTCCCTTTTTTGCCAATTGTCCGATTTCCTCCCTAAGACAGTAGAAGCGCTGCAGTGCAGATCCCCGACTGAGCCATCTTACCTCATTGTGATACACAACATCTCCGTATTCAGCCTGGATGTTGAGTAGAAACTGTTGAAACTGGCGGTGGCACAGGGCTTTGGAGCGAATATAATTAATAGCCTTCATCACCGGTTTCATAACATGATCATATTTCAGATGTTTGACACAGAGAACTTGTTGGTGAGTAATACAGTGGAGTTTTATAGCTTTGCTTCCTTCTTCACTGACTTTGTTACAGACTAGGGTTGATAATCCACTTCGTTCGCCAGCCATGGCAGGTGTGCCATCCGTAAATCCCAGTGACTTTATTCCATGGTAGTTTCATGTCATCTACGGCGGAACAAACAGAAACAAATAAATCTGTTCCTCTTGTTTGGTCCTTAAGGCTCTGGAGGTCAAGTAGCTCTTTACTCACGTTCATGTCATTGTCCACGCTTCTCAAAAAAATCAATAACTGAGCGGTGTCAGATGCATCCGTGCTTTCGTCGCAGGCTAACAAAAAAAAGTCAAACTCCACTCCTTTTGCCTCTAAGTGTCTCTTAGTGTCTAAGTGTCTAAGATCAGATGAAATGTCTTCAATCCTCCGTACCATAGTGTTTCGAGCGAGGCAAACATTGGCTAACTCTTGCTTCTTCTCAGGACAAATTTTCTCTACCATTTTCATTATGCAGTCTTTAATAAATTCACCCTCAGTAAAAGGTTTGCAGTGCTTGGCAGTCAGCGTTGCCACCTCGTAGCTCGCCTTTGTGGCATTTTCATTTGACTCACAGGCTCTTGTGAAAAAGCACTGCTGTGCCGTTAAAGCAGCTTCCAGTTCCTTCCATTTTTTGCCAC